ATGGATGGATGGATGGATGGATGGCATAGATAGATGTTGGATGGATGGATGATAGACTAATGGATGGATGGTGGATGGATGGCATAGATGATAGATGGACGGATGGATGGATGAGTGGATGGCAGAGAGATGATAGATTAATGGATGGATGGTGGGTAGATGGGTGGCATTGATAGATGATAGACGGATGGATGGATGGATGAGTGAATGGCATAGAGAGATGATAGGTGGGTGGGTGGCTGGACAGATGGCATAGATAGATGATAGACTAATAAATGGATGGATGGTAGATGGATGGATGGCATAAATGTATGGATGAGTGAATGGCAGAGAGAGATGATAGACTAAGAGGATGGATGGATGGATGGCAGGCATCGATAGATGATAGACAGACAGACATGTAGATAGTAGATAGGGGATAGACTGCTGATGGACAGAAAGACAGATGATAGATAGTAGAGAGGTGATAGAGTGGAAAGCTTGGGGACCGCTGACTTAAGGACATCGGCAGTGAGAAGACCAGTTGTCCGCTGATGGGACAAGGTCTTCCCTCCTTGTCTCCTGCGCGGGGGTCCAGCCCCCACCCCCAGTATCTCGCCCTGGGGGTCTGCCTTTAGCAGTGAAGCCTTCCTTTAACCTCGGGTCTGTTTCTTGGCCCGCTCAGGTCCAGCTTCAGTTGCTGACGGCCATCGTGAAGCTCTTTCTGAAGAAGCCCACCGAGACGCAAGAGGTGGTGCAACAGGTGTTGAGTCTGGCCACGCAGGTAAAGCCCTTTGCCGCTCACCCACTGCCAGGGACCCCTTCCTGGCCACCGAAAAAACCAGTCCAGAGCCCTCACGGCCCTGTCAGCGCAGGAGAAACATGAAAAATGTGCCAGAAGTGGGTGGGTTTTTATTTATTTTTATTTTTTTAGTTTTTAGTTTTTGGAAAAATACACATAGTCCTTGACTTAAGGCCACTCACATAACGATCGCTTGAAGTTCCACTGGACCTGCCTTGGGCCTAAGATTTGAAGCTCCGAAGGTCGTAAGGGTGAAAAAATGGTCATAAGAGGCGGGGGGAAACGGTGCTAAGTCCCTTTTACTGGCCGGATACCCTTCCTGTTGCCAGGGCGGAGTTTTGTTCAGCAGATAAATTCTCCTTCTTCCCAGAGAGAGAACTATCTGCTTCTAACTAGGATCGAACTCACCGTTTCCTGACTGCAAGGCCAGAGCGCCACCTCTAGGCCACCGCTAAATGAACCGTTGTAAATCAGTTGACCCTGGGGATGCTGTCATGTGAAAAATGGGTCCTAAGTATGAAAAATGGTCCTAAGTGTGAAGAACAGTGCTAAGTCCCTTTTTTTCTGGGCAGATGTCACTTCAAACAGTCACTAAATGAACTGTTGTAAGTCAAGAGCTACCCGTAAATCATTTTCCCCCCCTTTTTTCCCCCCAATCTGATAGGATTCGGATAACCCAGACTTGAGGGACCGGGGCTATATCTACTGGCGCCTTCTCTCCACGGATCCCGTGGCAGCCAAGGAAGTGGTCCTGGCCGAAAAGCCTCTCATATCCGAGGAGACCGACCTGATCGAGCCTACCTTGCTGGACGAGTTGATCTGCTACATCGGCACGCTGGCCTCGGTCTACCACAAGCCCCCCACTGCGTTCGTGGAGGGGAGTAGAGGCATCGTCCACAAAAGCCTCCCGCCCCGCACAGGCTCGTAAGTCGGAACTCCGAAATCCTCACTTCACTGGTGGGATTCAAAAAAAAAATTTTTTTTACTACCGGTTCTGTGGGCGTGGCTCGGTGGGGCGTGGCTCGGTGGGGCGTGGCGGGGAAGGATATTGCAAAATCTCCATTCCCACCCCACTCCAGGGGAAGGTTATTGTTCTGACCCAGGCTACCTGAGACCGTAATTAAGCACACCGCTTAGTCCAAACAACGCTCGTTTTTATTTCAATGTTGGGAATTATGTGCATTCCCAGTCCCAAACAGTCCCTCGAGATAAGCACCCACCTTTCTCTTCTTTGAATGGCTGCCAATAACTAAAGTGCCAAATTAACTGTAGAAAGCCAACCGGAGTACAAAGTCCACAGGGAACTTCAAAGTTTAATCCAAACGGAGCGAACGACGTTGCTTCCTGCAAAGGCTCCTGTCCGTTTCTGGGCTCCTCCCCAGACTCCCAGACTACCCATGTTCTTCCCCACTGTCCGATTCTGCTGCCGTCTCCGCAGACTGCCGATGGACCACAACAATCACTGCAAAGTCCCTATTCCCTCCCCACCCCACTAACCTTCTTTCCAGCTCCGTTCTCCTGTGGAGGGCAACAAAAGAAGACCCAGCCGATCAGCTGTGGGTGTGGCTTGGTTGGCGTGGTGTTCTGTGGGCGTGGCTTGGTGGGCGTGGCAGGGGAAGTATACTGCAAAATCCCCATTCCCTCCCCACCCCACTAACCTGCTTTCCAGCTCCGTTCTCCTGTGCAGGGCAACCAAAAGAGACCCAGCCAATCAGCTGGGACTCGGGAGGTGGAGAATAGATGGGGTTGGCAGGGCCAGTCAGAAGTGGTATTGGCCGGTTCTCCCGAACTACTCAAAATTTCCACTACCGGTTCTCCAGAACCGGTCAGAACCGTCTGAATATCGCCTCTGCCCCACTCAATCCATCGGTTGCCTGACTCGCATTCGAACGAGCGCCCCGTTTTTTTTCCCCGTTGAAAACCTGCTGTCTCCTCCCCCCCGCCTTCTGCCATTCAAACAGCAGCGAGAGTGCCGAGAGCCCAGACGCGGTGTCCGCCGGAGTGCCGCCTTCGGAGCAGCCGGCCGTCATCCCCACCCAGGGGGATCTCTTGGGGGATCTGTTGAACCTCGATCTCGGGCCCCCGGTCAGCAGCCCTCCCGTTGCTACCTCGTCGGTGCAGATGGGAGCCGTCGATCTTCTTGGTGGGGGCTTGGATAGTCTGGTAAGTTCTCTTAAACACACACACACACACACACACGCACGCTCACCAAATCCTGAGAAGCTTTTGCAAAAGAAAAAAATCGTTTGTTTTTTAAAAAAAGGATCCAGAGGTTGCACATTTCTCTCAACTTGTAAGAGAAGTCCCTGCAAGTAAAAATGTCATTGCAGTAAAATAATAATAATAATAATAATAATAATAATAATAATAATAATAATAATAATAATAATAATGATGCAGTTGAGTATTTTTTTTTCTTGCATATAGAGATCCCCCAGAGGCTGGCAGGCTTTTGAAAAGAAAAGAAAAATTCTGCAAATTTCTCTGAAAGTTCATAGTTTTCCATTCCATTCCATGTATTCTATTATATTCCATTCTAATTTTATTCTATTCTTTTTCTATTTTCTATATTCTATTCTATTCTATTTCTATTTCTATTCTATTCTTTTTCTATATTCTATATTCTGTATTTTATTGTATTCTATTCTATATTCTATTCTATTCTGCATTCTGTTCCGTTCTGTTCCATTCCGTCCCGTAGAGTCTGTTCCACTCAATTCCACATAATCCATTCCATGTTTTCTGCTCTGTTTATTTTTCATACGTTCTATTGATTTGTACCCCGCCTCTATTATTATTTTTATTTTACCAATAACTCAAGCAGCATACATCCCTAACACTCCTTCCTTCCTCCTGTTTTTCCCACAGTCACCGACTATAGAGTTGGTTTGGGCTGAGAGAGCGCGACTGGCCCAGAGTTACTCCGCTCCTTTCATGGCCAAGGCAGGACTCGAACTCACGGCCTTGTGTTTTCTAGCCTGACGCCTTAACCACTAGGCCACATTGGCTTTTTTCTCTCCCATTCCATCGTTTCGTTTCTGTTCTGTTCCGTCCTATCCCTGTCCATTCTCTTCTGTTCTTAGTTTTAGATTCGTCTTGATTAGGGGGCTAGCAAAAGCTAACTTGTGGGTTGATGCCAACTTCCAGGTTTTGCCCAGATGTCTAAGAATGGCACCCACCCACAAACAAACACACCCACACACACATACACACACACACACCAGGGAGGCTGTTCCGTAGCACGTGGGCTAGCTTTTCCGTGTTGTGATGATGCTGAGCAAACTAACTTTTCACCTCACCCCCACCCCCCTTGTCTCTCTTCTCCCCTCCCTGGCCTGCCTCTCTCCCTCCCTCTCTTTCTCTCTCTCGCTCTTTTCTTTCACTCCCTGCTGCTGCTGCTACTGCTGTTCTCCTCTTCACCTCCTGCTTCTCTTCTTTCAAGATGGGGGAAGAACAGGAAGGGGTATGTTTCGGCTCTCCTTTCTCTTTAAGAACGGGCCTCGCGTGTCCATGAGCGTGACCGCTCCCTCGTCCTCTCCCCCTTTGGCAAACTGGGTGGGGCGTGGCTGAGTGGGTGGGCATATGATTGAGGTGCCCCGACAAGTAGGGTTCCTTGTTCGATATGGGATGGATTGGCAATAGCTTCCCCATCGCCCCTTTTATTTTTTCCGATGAGCGTCACGAACTGTTGTTCTCCTGCAGATGGGAGGGCCAAGTTTTACAGCTCCCAGTACCGTCATGCCCTCCAACCTGGGAGGACTCCTCGGCGGGGGGCTGGGAGACCTCTTCGACCTGGCCGGAGGTGTGAGCAACCTGTCGGGCTCCCATGTCGCTCCCAAAACCGTGAGTAGCTTTTCCTCTGCTAGGATCCCCCCTGAAGCCAAAGATGGCGGCAGCCCCCGGTAGCCCTCGCCGGCGTTCTGTTGGAAACTCTAAAACGGCCATAGAAACGTGTTACGAGTTGACATCCTTCTCTTGGATGTTAGAGTTCGTGTTGCCTTTGAGGAAGGAGCGGGTTTCTCTAAAGAGAAATAATCCGCAGGTGTCAGTCTCCACTCTTAGACCATCGTGCCAGCCGCCAAAGAAAAACGTCCAGGAGTTTGAGAGACTCATCTTAATAAGCTTACTAGGAGGAGAAAGATGGTGGGTTCGCATCTCAAGATCCTGGGCTGTAGACCCAAATTCTTGCTTGCGAAAGCCTACCTGGCTCCTGGTTGATGGATGATGCTCCGCATTTCAACATCTCCAGTGTTCTGCTTTCCAGAGGCCCTTCCCTTTTGGTTACTTGGCCAAGCTTGCAGAAAGTATGTGCCTAAACAAGATTGAATCATGGCTACTGGGCCAAACTCTCGTTCATCTGAGGTGTTTCGCTGCTCATCCAAGCAGCAGCATCAAATCAGAGGAAAATTAGTTAGGCAGAGACTCGTCTTGGGTGAACAAGAGTTTGGTCCGGTTGGCACAGTTCAACCTTTAGACCACCCAGTTGGTTGAGTCTTCACAGAGACACTTCTGGTGTCAGCCTCGGAAGCCATTTTTTACTTGGAGGCTTCGAGGCTGCCACATTCACTGCCTGGGAATTTGGGAGCGGGGGAGATTTCCTAGTGGGGCAGAAGATTAGGCACAACAACAATCTTTTCTCAGAGAGTCAAGGACAGGTTGCCCTGCACCTGGAGGGGAACTTTTGGAGGGGTGTCTCCAGTTGAGACCAAGATTTGATTGGGCCGTGTGATGGACTGATGGGTGTAGGGGATGGATATTGGATTTCTCTTTTGGGAAGGGAAAACCCAGAACTCTCCGATTCAGGTTCCCCCAGATGTGCCGATATGAGAACTCTAATAAAATGGAACTGAGGAATTGTTTGTCCCGGAGTTTGTTGGTTTGGAGTTGGTTTAGTTGGAAGGCTGACGTCTGAAGGACCTTGGTGGCCAAGCCTTGAGTGTCCTCTCTGGTTTTAGGTGTGGCTCCCTGCAGTAAAGGCCAAAGGCCTGGAAATCTCAGGAACGTTCAGTCGCCGGGCTGGTTCCCTCTCCATGGACATCACGTTGTCCAACAAAGCCTTGCAGGTCATGTCAGATTTTGCCATCCAGTTCAACCGGAACAGGTAAGAAGCTTCCCCCACGCACGTCTGTTTGGCAGCCTCTGATGATGATCGACTTTCTCCTGAGCGGTTGGTTCAATGATGCCAAACCCTCTAAGAAGTTGGCTGAAGAGGCTGACCTGGCAGGCTGGCCTACTCCAACCCCCAGAATCCCCAGCCAGCCACGTTGGAGAAGCCTGTTCTAAATGGAGACCCACATCTCAATAATTCTCACCCTTTGTTTCCTGATTTAATCGCCTGATTTAAATCCACCTGGAGTTGAAAGTCCCCAAGTCTTAAACTTGCCGAGCTTGAAGGCTCCTGATCTATCACCTATCATCCATCTATCTATCTATCTATCTATCTATCTATCTATCTATCTATCTATCTATCTATCTATATCTATCTATCTATCTATCTATCTATCTATCTATCTATCTATCTATCTATCTATCTATCTATCTATCTATCTACAAACAAAAAATACCACTCACACATCATCACAAAATCTCCAGAACCGTAAAACCTACAAACTTGAAATTTGGCACCTATGTCCCTCTTGGCTTCTAGGGGCTCACTAAGAAAAGATTTTTCAAAATGACCATCAGAGCATTTAGTGTTTCCTATATTATCATTATTAAAACGCTCTGATGCTAAGGAGTTCTACTCCCCCTCCCCACCTGAAAAGAAATCTGAGTACAGAACAGTTGAGCTAAGCCACGCCCAGGCTCCTTGCTGTCTCCTTCTTGCTCACACAGCAAATGCTGTTTCAGTTTCCAAACAGCCCTCAACTCTCACACGCTGACAGGAGTCTAGCCAGATGAATACCGATGGATGCTGGTAGGCAGAGGCAGAATTTTTCCCCCTTGTTTTCCTCCTCAAGAACTAAGCCCGACCACATCGTTTCGTAGCGAAGCACGGGGATCGAGCTGGTTTGTTTTTATAGTGCTGTCTTGTGTTGAGACTTCCAGCCACCAATGTATGGCTTGCCTGTCTCTCTCTCTCTCTCTCTGGCCATTTCTCTCCAGCTTCGGTCTGGCCCCTGCTGCCCCTCTGCAAGTCCACACCCCTCTCGCCCCCAACCAGAGCGTGGAGATCTCTCTTCCCCTCAACACCGTCGGTTCAGTCATGAAGATGGACCCCCTGAATAATCTCCAGGTGAGCCCGAAGGGGCAGCAGAGGAGAAGGAAGGGAGGGGGGGTCTTTTAAGAGGCCAGGCAGCCGTGATGCGGGGAAGGGCTGCAACTCAGCCAGGCTCGGCGGGAGGGCCCAAGATCTTCGGGAATGGCATCTTTGGGGAGAAGGGGTGGGTGTACCTCACAGGGAGCAGCCTCCCTCTAAACACCTGGAGACAGTTTGGTATAATGGTTAAGCTGCTGGCTAGAAACTGGGTGAGAGTGAGTTCTAGTTTCACCTCAGGCATGAAAGCCAGCTGGGTGACTTT